TATCGAAGCTTGGTTGATAAAATTATAGCAGAACCTAACCTTCATGCATATTCAACGAGATTTGACACGGTATTTAGTAAACAGATCTATTTTAAAAATTGTATCCCAAAATTAGTTGCAAACTATTTTACCGTTCCAACTTCTATAGTTTAGGCAACCTTTCCTATTTGAAGTGTTAAGCTAGCTCATATGAATAAGCTATAGCTTATAAACAGTTGTGTAATTATTTCTTGAATAGGCCTTTGAAATATTCGACCTAGATACCTTAGCGATACAAAGTTTTGCTTTATAAAGATTATACACTGGTATATTTTGTGTAGATGCAAAGTAAATTTACATGTAAAGAATGCATTCTTTCATCTTTTTATAACGAAATAAAAGGAGACATTTATTTTCTTCAATAAAGGCTTTATTGAAATTAAAACAGTCAGATAAAAAATTATTGAAAAAAGTTTTGACTATCTTACTCAGTGGTTTTTTTATCATAAGGTGGCAAACGAGCAAGCGGCCACCTGAAATCGCCGAAATAGCGAAGCGACTGTTGCCCATAGACATACGCAATTGCATATGCATTACCTACCTTAAATCGACGGAAGAGAGGATGCACAGAAAGAAAATATTTTCCATTTCCATGCATCCTCTTATCCGGAAAGTCCACTTCCACTTCCCATCCTTTCCTTATAAGAAAAAGGATGGGCAGGGAAAGAGAACTAAATTAGGCCTCCGGGACGCACACTCATCAGACGAAACGCGAAATTGCTTCCACTTGACTCCTGTCTTCTGTGTGGTCGTGGTATTTCACCGGGCGAGCCGGGACAATACCTGCGAAGATGTTAAAGCAAGCTCTACCACTGTTAAATGGCATGGTAGTAAATAGCATTCTTAATCTAATTATTACTTAGTTTAAGTGGTCCCCTGAGTATAGATTATTGATAATTCTACAATAAGGATCTCCCTTAATGACCAATTAACTAGTGTGTGTGCGGTATTAAGTTATAACGAGAGAAGAAACGAATGGAAATGAACAATTGCCTATTTGCGTGAATTTGCATGATGGCTGTGGCGCGTAAACAGATGCGCTCTTAGCGCCCTAGTGACCTCATCAAAGACTGGAAGAACCCTTATTCACACAATCTGTTGCTTTATGTAGCAAACACTATATACTGATTATATAATGCAGTAATCAGTATCATATAATAAAAACTGACTTTTATCATATAATAATTTTGACAAAAAGATAAAACTTAATTTGAGTAAAGTTGCACTACTTCTGACAATCTTCATTCTGAAAATATATTAATAATGCAACAAATTAATACATTTTTAAATGTTAATTACATTGTCTACCGCACTCATACCCGTTAATTTGTCACTAAGAGAGCCTTTTAGTGTAATGATTTCTGTAAATCTCTAGCCGTAGGTTTCTAGAAACAAAATATCAGTTTTAAGGATCTTGTTATCTCTGTTTTATCAATGATAAGGGCAAAATATGAAATTTATACAGATGTTTCGGTCTCAGAAACCCATGGTTAAAGCCTAGAAATTACCGAGTAATTAGCCAATATTTCAATTGTCTTCGTAATACAAGTAATTATATAAATATAGTCCTTGTATACGAACACTATAGCTGTCCCTGTCTTTCCCTTAAAACTTAATGAAAGGTATCAAAACATCGAGATTCACCGTAAAATTCAAACGTAACCTTGGGCACAATCTGTTTGCTTATTTTCCAACAGTCGCATGCAATCAATAGTCGTGGCTGCATCCTCCGAGAGTGCCCTTGGCGCATTTTACTGCCGAATCGATGCCGCTTCAACGTGCCAATTTTATGATTGCATATGCTAACGAGTTTTAAATGTTTTAAGGTTTGCAGCCACTGATTAACTATTTATAGAACAACCATGACAGGAAATGCGCAAGAATACTCCATCTTACTAATATTATAAATGCGAAAGTTTAGATGGATGGATGGATGTTTGTTACAGAACGGTTGCATGGATCTCGCTGAAATTTGGTACTGATATAGAACATAGTCTGGATGAACATATAGGCTACTTATTAAGTTTTTTATTTCCGCGCGTACGTAGTCGCGGGCGACAGCTAGTTATTAAAATAATAAGTTACGTAATTATGATGAGAAATGAAATCGAAGAGTATTATAATAAATATTCAGTCTGTATAGAATTGTGTATTTAAATAAATTTTGTTATTTCCTTCCAATTTCCTACCGAAATCAGATCGTCGTTTATCGGTTTGTCGATATCCGGACCTCATCAAAGAGTTTTCAACAAGAATGGAACGTTCCAGAAAAATAAATATTTAGTATTTATTTATCTTCTTTACAGATTTTACTGGTTATGTTGTGAGAGAATATAAAACGAGTAACATGCAAATATATATTGGAATAATGAATATTATTATAGATAGAAATGTTTAATCGTGAGTTGTTACTGCCGAATTCATCAATCTCTTTGAAGAAAACAGAAGTTCCGGTCTGCAGTCGGTGTGGTGGTAAATGTTAATATAATCTTAGACGAGATTGGCAACATGTGAAGAAAGATGTGATAACAGGTACTCATAACTGTATATGGTAAGAAGGAAGTCTAACCAGGGATAGATTAATCTGGCGGGGTCAAAACTGGTGCGTAGGCCTAACATAGATTGGAATAAGGATTGCAAAATGATGAACAAGCAATGGTAGTCCAATCCGGTAATGATAACGATGTAACAGTCCTAATCGAGGCCCCTGTGAAAGCCCTCGAACCTAGTTACTCGGCCACCTCAAGCCCGTTGTAGCTATAAATGCCTCTTCAAGTCAAACAGTGATTGCTCAGACATAAAAAAAGAAAAAAGTCTATGGTAATTTACGTACCATCGTGTCTATGATTTCATAGAGTTACATATTCACGTTTGCATAACAAAGGACATTTAAAATTCCGAATGTTATAACTTCATCAAAAAGCTCCCTAGACGGCGACAAATTCCAAACTTTGATTAAGGTTCTCATGCGACGATGAGACCGTAATGTGTTAACTTTGCTTCGCAATTTGACGTTGAAAGTTTTTAATATTTTAAATCAAGAAATATAATGTTAATTACATTCTTATCATATAATTAAGTGTATATATATTTAAGTGATAAACGAGCTAGCATTTACCTGATAGAAAGTTACTTTTACTGATAGTCATCTGCAACAAATTCAGGCGAGTAGCATAAGCAGAAGAAGAAGAAGAGTAAATAAGCAGAATTAATTATAAATTCCCTATTCCATCCAAGATAGGGGAGGGAAGAGTTGTAGTATATTGGAATAATAATATATTTTATTTTTGGTGAAATTGTCATCTTATTTTTTTAAATTTATATATAAGAACATTTTTGACAGAATCTTTTTCATTACCAAAAAGTATTTCCAACATAGTAACATTCTTTAGATTTTGTCTCCTCACATCGAGGGCTTATCACGAATATTTGCGACACACGCATTCGTAATGTCATCGATCAAAAATAGTATGATATTTTTTGGTGTACTTTACGCCCGGTAGGGGCGCTCCACAAATTTTGTCGATGATGTTACGAAAACGATATTACGAATCCTACTAGTCCTTCAAAAATAGTAGCGCTCTTGCGTTAGAATACGACTAAATACGAAGGTTCAAAACTGTTACTTAATTTTCTAGAAAATGATGTGTAAAATTAAAAGTATTCTGCTATTTATAAGCATTTAGTTCTTTATTTGTGCGGCAGCTGCAGGTTATCTGCTCGAGACCATTATCTCAACCAATTTCCCGGCAACAGAAAACCAATTTTAAGCTCAATGCTAGCCCGTTGGGAACAGATAAAATATTGCTACGAAACAGATAGCATATAAAAGTGAATTATTTGCTATTTTTAATTTTAATAATTTCTTTTTTAACCGAAAACATCAGTCATGAGTACAAATACGAGAAAAAAATATTCAAATTTGAGTCATTGCATTGTTATGATAAGGTCTATTCTGAAAATAATTTCGTAATCGTATTATTCTTTGACACGCTACTAATCTTTGGTTTCTGAGAACTGATTTGTCAAAGATACATATATGAGAGGGATGACGATATGTTTTATAAGAGATTTTGTTTTCAGAAATTTACCACTAGTTTATATTTACAAACATATTTTTTTTATTTCTCATAAATAAATTGGTACACAGTAAATATATTATTACATTTTGATAGTAGTATATATTCTACCAACCTCATTTCTTTCACTTTAAAAGTCGTTTTACAGCTATAGGAAGCGTTTTAATATTTATAACCAACTAGCTGTCGCCCAAGACTCCGTCCACGCGGAATTAAAAAAAAAAACTTAATTAGTAGCCTATGTGTTCTTCCAGACTATAATCTACATGTGTCCCAAATTTCACCAAAATCCGTTAAGCCGTTCCCGAGCTATTTACCTACAAACATCCATCCATCTAAACTTGCGCATTTATAATATTAGTAAGATGAATTTTATAAAGGGCTGTCGTGTCATTGAATAAATACGAGGTTTTCAACATTGAAGTGAATCACTTCAAAGTTGTTTAAATTACGTTTACTCAAAGCGGTTACTTTATACATTCATATTTTCCACTCATAAAATCGGATAAAAACAAGAACTTCAAACGATAAAAAGGCATTTAAAAGAGTTAATCGTATTTATCCAATTAGCTTTTAATATTAAGTCACTCTGGTTATAATTGGAAAAGGCTTTTGTTGGCGTTTTTTAATTTCACAATGCGCAAAGACGAACGACGCATTAATCCATTTGCTGAAATGGATAAGTAAGCTGATATTTTTCACTTAATTTTAACTATAATTAATTAAAAGTTTTCAGAACTCAGAAAAGTTCTTATTTGTATTCATCTTTTTGTATAACATTTCATTTAAAAATCAAACAGTAAAAAGATAATCGGTCCTTTGAGTCGGATAAAAGTCTTCAAGCTTAACTGATAAATTATTAAAATATTTTTTTTTGTCCAGGATAAACATTATCTTTGTATAATGGCGTCGGACTCACCAGAACAGAATCTCACGCAGTACTTCAGTTTATGCAACGATTTCATACACGCCGCGCGACTCAGAGATGGAAATGTTCTTATACATTGGTAAGTACTAAGTACTAATAAACTTATAGGCTATATTAAAAAAAGTAATTGACCTTTATTTTTAAACTTTCCAACTTTTTTCGAAACTCGGCTATCTTTAGACGTATCAAGTTTTAATATTCTACCTATTAAGGTTACACAGGGTAGACCTGTTTCATTCATTAACCCTTTTTGTGGCAAGATTTCTTTATTGAAGAAAAACAAAAAATACGCAAAAGCAAAAATAAGTTTGATAAAACTAAGTTAAAAATAATTTTATAGTGATCGTATATTTCTATAGAGTTGTATGTATGGTATACTATACAAAATGAATATAAGCGTTAATAATGCGTACAAAGCCCCAAATTCATTTAAGCACAGAAACAAGACAACTTTATTTAAGGCACGACCACTGTAACATAATTACCGTTTGAACCCAACTAGGGCAGTGGGAAGGTTGGGTTCAAACCGCTATCACAATAGACTATCACAATCTAGCCTAATAATGTATAATTGTTTAATACTGGCAACTTAGAAATTTGATTTTCGAATAAAAAATATATTCTATTTTCAATTTTGAATTTCAAATTGAAGGCGATTTTTTTAAAAACATTTCGGAAAGTAGGTGAAGTTTAAATTAGCACCTAACTCTCCCATCTCTCCGTCGTAATGTAATTCGCTAGCTAGAGTTCTAGAAATATGGACCTTAGTTCTCCAGAAAACACAAAACGATGTCACATTTACGTATTTCACTAGACTTAATAATATATTCCAAAGCAACGTACCAAATACCATTTCCTATTGTACTTATGTTCAGGAATTAAAATGAGCCTTGTAATTTTTTACTTTTATTAAAAATAGTTCTGTGTTAAGAAGGATGTATGTAGGAATAACTATGTAATAATGTTCCCTTATTGACATACTACGTGACATTTAATAGTCCACTAACATCGTAAAATCAGCGTTTGTAGTTAACAATCTGTTGGCTGGCTATCTACACTTACAGATCAACATTGTTAAAATAAATGCTGTTACAAGTGGTAAAATTCAAGTAACCTAACCTAACTCTAATAATAATGATTGACAGTTTTATTTCATCTGTTCATCATAAGCTACCTACCCTAAGTTAGGGGTGACTATGACAACCACGCTGACCCAGTGCGGGTTGGTTGACTTCACACATATCTTTAAATTTATGCTCAGATATGTATGTGCAGGTTGCATTACGATGTTTTCCTTCACCGTAAGAACGTCGGATAAATGTACATATGTAAATCGGAAATCAAAAACACATTGGTACATGGTGGGATTCGAACCCAGGACCTGCATATTGCAAGTCGAGTCCTGAAACCACTGTGCCACCGACGCTCTTCATCTGTTCACCAGCGTTTAATTTTTTATCTCTTCCCAGTTTAGCGGGTATGTCTCGCAGTGTTACGGTTGCGGTGGCATACATAATGTCGGTGACACCCCTAACATGGCGTGAAGCACTCAAGGTGGTGCGTGCAGGCCGCGCAGTTGCCAACCCTAACCTCGGTTTCCAGAGGCAACTGCAAGACTTCGAAACATATAAATTAGTTGAGGTAATTTTTAAAAACAGTTATCAGTAAATTAAAAAGAACTGCGGAGTTATACAAAGTTCATTCGCTACGAAACTTCTATATTGAATAGAACCGACAATATCTTTAGATAAGTCACGTGATTGTCGCGCGTCAGTTCCATACAACTTTGAAGTTCGCTATGGAATCGCTTCGAAGCGAATGCACTTTTTCTTACTCCGTTTTTCGTGGATAAAATTATATTCTTGAATAATTAATATCATTTCTTATTATGTCACGTGGCTTCTAAATTAAGATCCGAGAGAGATTTTGTGAGTAAGGCTCAATATTCATAAACATTTTGTTTTTTTTTGTAGTCAAACTCAAAGAATGCAATTTGCTAACTCTGCAAGATGTATTATTAACTTTACTTCTAACGTATATTAGCAAATAAATTGTCCCAAATTGTCTCTACAGTTTATTACTACACATTAACAATATGATTTATGTTGTAAACATCTGTCGTTTGCCACAGATAACAACAGCTCAGAATCATGGCCAGAAAGAAAAATGTATCTTTTTATTTTTTAAATTGCAACTTTCTTCTTTTCATCAGACAAAGGAATTTTTCTTGCGTGCTCTTTTCTTTGTATTACAATGTGACATTTGAATTAAAAATGGTTTACATTTATGTCTTTTTTCATTTACTACACTATTCTTTGTTTTAAATTAAACTCTACTAACACATAAAGAAAAAAATATTCTTAATAACTGTTATAAATTTTTATTTAATATATATCTCCATCCCTTTCACTCAGGTATATAAGACAGACTAAAATATGAGTATTAATGCAGGCGACAACTATAGTAACATCCTGTATACACGTACGCCCTCTATCGATATTAAACATTACCTTTGCTGTACATACACGTTTCCAGAAAGATCGATCTTCGGCCAAATGTTACTGACCCAAACAGTTGTTTCTTTAAAAACTATTAGGTATGTTTTTCTAAGATTGATATTTCTACATTCTAGGAAAACCTTTTTACCCTTTTTTTTTCAGAGGGGAATGCTTTATGCATAATCCGCGCCCCGGGGGGGACGCGGTAGTTATGTGGGATTCTCCTCCATAACGGCATACCCACTAAACCCCTCTGTTCCTCCAACGCATCGGGACGGGACTACGGGCACGCTTTCGCTCTCGTCCGCGGCCATAAAACCTTTTTACCCTAATTATTTGGACATTGTAGGAAAGGCGACGTCTTAAAGAGCGGTATCCATCGTTGGCGCTAGCGGACAGCGACCTGGCGGAGTGTCGCGTCATGCTGGACTCATATCAGCTTATGCTGCGCCAAAAGACCATCTGCGAGGGCAAGTGTGCTATGGGTCGACAGTGTCCTACTGGTAATATCGCCCTACTTATTATTTTTTATAGTATATGGTTGCAAACGAACCAACACAACGGTCCTCTGACATCTCAAACTGTTGCCCATATATATCTTACTAATATTATAAAAGCAAATGTTTGGATGGATGGATGTTTGGTTTAAGATATCTCCAGAACGGCTGAACGGATCTCGATGAAATATGGCACATATATAGAAGAAAGTCTGGAATAACACATAGGCAACTTATTATGTTTTTTTTTAATTTCGCGCGGACGGTAGCGACAGCTAGTATTAAACAAGTTATAAGGTTGCTGTTGCGTTTAAAAATACTAAGGTCTATGGGTCCTAAGTTACATAAGCTCCTTGAATCACAAATAGTCTTAAAATTATCTTTTGTCACTCAATATTCTGTTAACCTGTTAATATATTAAATTAAGTCAGATAACTAAGAAATCTCATTAAAAAGCTTTTCTCGTTTTGTACACGTATTTACACAAACGTAATTGAATGCGGAACAAAGAACATGTGCGACGCAACGACTAGAGAAAAAGACGACAGCACAAAAACAAAAGATATGATCTTATCTTACGAGCCAGATGCTACTTGCTTTTGTACCCGTAAGGACAGGTTCGGTAAAAATACATGAATTATTCATATAATGTATAATCAATTATATAAGTATTTAACAATTTTTAAATATAGTTATATTGCTTACAGAAAAACCGCTAATTCCAAATGGATTTGCGGACTGTCGGTTGTGTCAAAACTTAGAACACGTGAATGTTAATTATCAAAGGAGTTTTTGTTATGCGTTAATCAGTCAAGTAGGGTCAGTCAGCCGAAGAGTTGTTTCGTCTAAATAAGATTATGCAAAGATAATGTGGCCTTTCAACATTTATAATCCTATATAATCGTCAGCGTGGCAAAGAACTAATGTAACTATGTGATCAGGTGTGTGCAGGACGGGATCAAAACGTCAGCCGCGCTCGCGCCGTCCGTCCGCCGCGGGAGGCGGGCCAGGAGGCGGGGAGCCGGGCGCAGGGGGCCTAACGCGCTCACCCTCCACCCTCTCCACTACATCTACCACATCTGGCTACAGGCCGCGCTCCTCCCCCGCAGGACTCTATAGTTACACTGGACGTGAGTATCTGTAACTGTGGCTTACGAGTACCGCGACATTTTTAATGACACATGGCCATCTCTCTCATTATCTTTGAAAAAGGCGACAACAATAGCGGTTCTAAGAAGAAGAAGTTTGTGTTTGGATTAAGGAACTTTTGTAACTTGGATACCGCGAACGATCGCGACTGTACCGCGTAGCTTGCAGAATATTGTGTACCGTATACTTTACGTAATTTTGGGCTGAAAGTAGAGACGTATATTACGTATTTTCATCTACCTATAATTCAGTATCTAAAAATATGTGTCAAGAATTTTGTTACGAAAATATGCTGTATAAGTAAAACTGGATGAATAAATTTGCTATTAAAACGCTCTAAATCGACCAATAAAAGTTTAAGCACCGATTAATTACGAAATTGCTTCTCGAAGCGTCATTTAATCCTTTAATTTCAATTCGCACGGATTGGCTCAATCACAGAGGCGCGTTTCGCCTTTAATCATAGTAATTGGAGATGAACATCATTAGGCTAAAAGGTTTAGTAATTAACTGCGCGCAGCTCTTTGCTGTCTGTGGTTACAGTTATGAGTGCAACTTTTAAAAAGTAATATTAAACGAAAGCGAAAAAAATAACTGGAATGTTATGCAGACTTTTGATCTAAAATACAAAACCACAATATCTCGAGGGATGTTAAGAGGAAATGTTGTTTACGTGTTAGGATTTTGTGATAAAAGAACGTGAATAATATTCTGAAAACATATGGTTTGACTCATTTTTACAAAGACTTAAGAATACGAAAAAACAAAGTGCCGAAAACCATAGCATCCATAAACGTATACCTTAAGTTCGTTTAGCCTTTATGCCTGAAAGTGAAGCAGTAGACCTTCAATCGAGTTTCTTTAGCAGGATTACTTTGAGTTTCTTTGACTTGGTTATGATCGTACAACTTATTGTTACCTTAGCCACATCGAGACCGACTAGGTCGACCTCAGGGTTGAGCGTGACGCGCGTGCGGGACGCTGTCGGTGGGGGCACCGCCATGGCTGTAGGAGGCTCCGAGTACTCCCGTCGCCGAGCTGCCTCCGCGCCGGCCACTCCCGCACTCTCCCCTGCCTCTTCCCCGCCGGCCTCCCCGCACAGGGCGCCGCATAGGTTGGTAGTGCCAACTTGATAACTTTTACTTTTGTGTTTTTTTATTCCCATATCTAAGGACGTGCATAAAACCAACGCCGAATCAAAGAGTATCAGCACTATTTATTGATTCGCTTACGTTACTTACTAAAACCTTAAAATCCTTATATTTCCTTAACATATCAACCCAATTTCATTTATAATCACAAATATTTTATTGCCTTTATATTAAGAAATCTACATAATGCACTTTTTGGTTTATTCAAAATCATGTACTTTGTCAGAAACTGGGCAATGCTTCATGCCATTATGAAAGTTTTATTTAATTCATTGCATGTTCTGTATTTTTAATTTTGTCATTTCATTTATTGTTAGAAAAGCCTGCGCTTGGATCATACCTTCTGTGAAATGGATGGACTCTGAAGACGATTTGTAGGTAAAGAAATACGCCTTCTTCAAATAAATCAAATCTCTACTTGAAGAAAACCGATAACCATGAAATTACGGCCAATTTCAAATGTAATTGGTAAATATCATAAAATAAAGTGTACGATAATTTTTAAATTGATTTTAATATTCATTGCAAAAACTTTTGGTTTCTTTACGATGAAATCTTTGATGCAAAATCAATATAGGTACCTAAGCTGATACGTTTCAAAGAGAAAATTCGTTTGACATATTCTGTAAAGCTTTTGCTAAGCTTAGTGAAGCTCTATAAAATTTTCCGGCAACGAATGGTTTTTAATATCTAAAGTAAAGCTTTGGATCCGTATAACAATGAAGTATTGTACAACACATTGAGTGATCTCGCAGCAACTGTTGAATAAGCGAACTCTACACAAACTATTGTTCACATACATGTATTCCACATTTCTGAATGACAGACATTTTGTATAAATTCGTCGCGTTTTACCGGAAAATTATTTTTATTTGTTTATGCTGTTTTTTTATAAAGCATTGGAATATTTTTGTAGTGATAATGTTTACAAAAAATGCTGATAGAGTCACAATTTTAATTCAAGAATAAAATTATTAATTTAAATTATTTAATCTAAACATCCATACATACATCAATCTAAACATTTGCATTTTTAATATTATAGTATAGATGAAGATAAAAGAAATTAAAAACGCGCTTGCTCCAATTTGTTCTCTTATTTCTTGTTTGTACACGTATGTACATGCTCGATAAACTTGTTCTCGAGCAAATTTGACCGTCTGTTACATGCATTGCGTAATTTCTAACTAGTTTGTTGTCTATCCAGGTCTCGACCTACACAGCGGTGTTCGTAGCAGGCCGCCAGATGTCGCACCACATCCGCCCACAACCGCACAAGAATTAATTTAATTATTAAGTATTGTATATTACGATACACGATTCTATTTGACATGCACTCGCTCAAACTTACATCAGCTGAAGCTTATTAAATCAGATAAGCTTGATTAAATATTTACACCCTGTACAGTCGCGGAAAACCTCGGTGCTGCAATTAAAAAAAATATCTTGTTTCTTCCAACGAGACAAACTTCGACCCGTTTTATAAATTAACAATAGGTAAGTGAGTTACGCAAACGACGGAACAGTGAAAAAAAAATTAGTCGTGTATCACACATTATGAGGAGCGGTCAAATGACTGTCGCTTTTAAGGAGGAACACCGCCAATTTCCTCGACTGTACCAGTTGGTTTCGATTGCAATGATACTTGATTTAATACATAATGTTATCTCTGTTTAATCAAAGAGAATGTAAGAGATGGCAATATGTATTATTACAATGATCAGTGCAGTGAATTTCTGGGCTATGATGTATGGAAATTAAACTTCATTTATAATTGCCAACTTTGGTACAAGTGAAGTTTGTTGGTTATTTTGAATGATAGTTTGTGAAAATAATCTGTTATTATAAAATTACAAAACATATTTTCTGGAAAGTACAGTCGCTAACAAGACCCATTATCGTAAATTTCAAAAAAATATTTATCTATTATACTTACTAACTTCATTCTTATTTCTAAAAATGACCAATTTTATTTAGATTAAAAGTTTAGTACAATATTAAATTATCCTTTACAATTAAATCAAGATCGTTCAAATGTTTTATGTTATAATTAGTATTTATTTAGTAAAGAAATACTTCCTAACACATTTTGCACATAACTACGAAAGCGAACTGAACCGAAAACAAAGATTTTACTCCATGTTAAGATTCGATTTCGCGTAGTAAGTTTGTATGTAACATTTCGACGGAATAAAACAAATCCATGATAAATTCCTATGAAATTTCGTTTCATCTACAGTTTCTTTTCGCAGATATGTGCTGAAAACAGATATTAATTTCTATCTATTATAATTAAATTAAAACTATAGCGTCTTGTAAATAGCGTAGCTTGTAATCTTTGCTCAAATGAACTTATTCCGTTCATGTTGCACAACTAAGATGTGGGTGACTTACGTTTATGTATTGTGCTCACTTTAAGATATAACGCTTCAAATGCATAAACTCTTTACTTATAGTAGGATTCAACCTTTATAACGGCTCGGGGTTAGCTGGGAGCTTATGTCTTCGTAGCTATTGAAAGCTCAAGGTCAGCTGCGAGCCGCGCAGTGTCCCTTCTGCCGCATGTCTTAACGCCCTACTAGTTCCGAGCTGCCAAGAGGTTTGTTTTACGCTATATATGTACATGTGGTGCGCAACGTCTTGTACAAAATTCTGAGCTGATATAAAGTTTGGATGGTACTGTTCGTTGGCGGCATTCTCACAAAGCCATATAGTTAACTCTCGGATTTCTACAAAAAAAAACTATAGCTCAGTTGTTTGGCACTGGCTATATGTTTTTGTTTGAATGTTCCCGCAGTGTAAACCCTCGGTTACCCAATGAAAATGGGTACGTCAACAAAATGTAGAGTTGAAAGTGATATTTAGTAAAAGGACTTATTTACTTAAACAAGTATTTTACTAAATTGAAAAGTGACTATTTAAATGTCTTAAACTATTTAGAGACAAACAATCCTTAGAATATTGTTTAAAAATGTAAAATTCCCACTTCAAAAGGAAACTTATGAACAATGTTTTGTAAAAGCATCAAAAAATTGAAATAACAATGTTTTGAACAAGTATTTCGGTAGTGGCAACCCACACTAAGATAGACTATTAAGGTTCGGTTTAGACAGTTGGAGTGGAGAGCAGAGCAGATTCTTTTTTTTATCTTAAATTACCTTTCTACTATTGTAACAAGGTTAAATTTGACTTTGAAGACGTCTTTTCTTATCAAGTGTACGTGTAAAAAGAAGTGAAAAGTAAAATTAAAAGTGTTTTAGTTGTATTAAAATCAATTTAATTTGTGATTAAAATATGCCGTGTTCTCCACTCCGGCATGTTTGAACTAGCTGTTATCCGAACCGAACAATGAATAAATTGACTTGCCTTAAAATTTTAATCTAATTCCTTAGGGCTTAGCCGCAATTTGTGATTTTGATGCCTTTAGTAGAATAATCACGGCTTAGTAGATTATAACTTATAAATTTTGTCCATCCGGTTGGTATACTGTTGGTGTTAAAGGTAATTAAAAAGCGATATGTTTTGTACAGGAATTGTGGTCTCAGAAACCAATGATAAAAAATAAACTTATTTTAGTTGAGATTAGTTTAAAACATCGTTATGCAAAGTCAAAGACTGGTAAGACCATAACTCATTTATGTTTGCTTTGACTATAGTCAAAGATATCTGGACTGTTAAGAGGCGCTGCTATCGCGTTTAGTTGTCAGAAAATATGTAAAACCTATTTAGAGAAAATGACAAAACTTGACAGCTGAAGTACGAAAAGGTCACTTCTTTGACATTTACATGAAGGCGCTAGTGAGCTATCATAATTTAGTTTGACTTACGTTTATTAACATGGGTTTTTGAGACTAAAATCCCTGTTTAAACCTAGTTATATCTGTTTTTTTCTTGTCAAAGATGAAAGACAGGGATGACGATATGTTTTATATACAGCTTTTGGTCTCAGAAACTCATGGTAAATCAGATATCCTTTTCTATATCTCCAAAATATTCGAAACTGATGGATGGACGAACTAGACTTAAACTACGGCTGTAAATATTTTTCTTATCTATAGATTGTACTATAATTCTCAACTTATTAAAATCTTTCATATTCCTTCTCCTTTCTGCACCTTGTAATGATTGCTGTTTTCTGTGACGTAATGTCAAATCAATATTTGTTACCGTGAAATTCCACTGGTAACACTCAAATATATTGTCTCTGTCCTTTCAAAGAGAGTAAGCAGGATGACAATATGTTTTCATATTAGTAGTTTTATCAGTGGAAATTCACCTTTAGTGTTGCAGTGAGAATATGTGACAATATTTTATGAAAGTTTTAAGAGAAATATTTTTATGTATGGAATGATTTGTATATACGAATGTACCTGGTTAAAATGGGACAATTATAATTGTAACAAAATTTATAAATATTGTATAACAGCACGCTAGATACAGTATGTCACAATATATCGAATATTTGTTTTAGAAACACACTACATTGAAAGCAATAAGTGTACAAGCACATTGAATATATTTATAATAGTTAACGTTTAAATCTGTATATATTTTTAATATAAAATTTAATAAAAAAACTTTGTTTCATTGTGTAACCAAAACTCGTATATAACGTCACTTTTTAATATTGCTATCTCTTTTTTCTACAAAGATGTAGAGCAGGATAGCAATATTGTAGTCAGCTACACATTGATTTTGCCTACAAATTCAAATACGTAGAGAAGACAAAACCGAGAACCGTGCAGTTTAACTGACAGATGAAGTTTTACCTACAATTTGTGCAGCGGCCTTAACAAGTCTACGTTGATGTGTTTTTCTCCTATAAAAAAGACAATGAATTATTTACGAATAAATGATAAATTGCATTCTTGACAAATTAAAATAAAAGGCAAAATGACAGTACCGTATGTATTTATATTCTTACATAATATAAAACTTCAGGAGCTAAAACATCTTTAATTAAAATATCTAACATTAATGTTTGTTATACTTTCAACAATATTTCTGACCAAAACTATTCTATTTCTGTTACAAAAATAATTTCATTTATAGTCGGAAATAAAGAAACTGTCTTATAATTATTATATATTATTGGCATATTTATAAGCAAATAAGATTTATTTTTAATATTTATGCGTGACTTAATTGACGATTACAGAAATGCAATCAATTTTACGCAAATAAAATAGTTTAAAAAGATAAAATATAAAGATTAATAAAATGTTTATTTACAATTTATATTATAAAATATTAACGTTATAGACACATTAAAAAATATACTACCACACGTATAATTTAAAAAACACGAGCATAAATTAAATGTACGACATATTTTACTTATATATCATATTTAAAAAAATTATAATTTTTATGATTACTACTTAAGAACTATGTTTTAACTATCACCACTTGCAAGTAACTTCCCATTTAACTTTTTATTGACTTAAAATTACTTTGAATAAATAATTTAACTGTTATTTTACAGAAACAAATAAAAAAAATTCAAAAAGTAACAATTTCTTACATTCATAATTTTAAAGAACACCGTACGCGATAAACAGGACCACCATTTATTATATTGTAAATTAAAAAAAAAAAGTTTGATGTATTTTAAAAAAAAAGTCATAACTACATATTAATAATCTGTTATTAAATTTATAATTTGTTTAAAATTGTATTTACCAAAAATTTTCTTTTCAAAGTTTTATAATCTATAAATTTTATGCTCTATTTTGTAAGTGTACAAAGCGATCGGATGTCAAAAACCTAAATAATTTTGTCATATTTCTGCCAAGATTAATAAATTGGACGGCGAAGCGGTGCTTTTTTATTAAAATCAAGCTTAATAATGCTTTAATAATATAAACATCTAATCATTATTAAAAGAAGCGTTAATGTGGTCCATCGTAGAATGTAGTTCAAAGGTTATCTTATCTCCCAATAGTCCCAGGCAGGGCTTTGCCGCAACAACCGACAACGGGCAGCCGTAGGATTTAATGAGCAATAAACTTTATTATATGATATCGCATTAACGCAGGCAAATCTGGTGAACTTGTAATGTGTTTTAAATACATATCAAATTGAACATTTTAAGGCAGTGACCACATTTATAATTATAGCAACTTCGGTAAAAGTGGTTTTAATTTCGGCTTTAGTATCTCTAAAACATCCTAAAATTACTCTCAAATATTCAGTACCATTGTGGGAATATTAATATTTTATTCAAAAATATATTCTATAGAAAGATTTGTGACGTCAGAATTCGAGTAACTAAATTTGCTAATATTATTTTAATGTACATGATGTCGGACTACATATATTATATTTTTCACAACTAATATTCTATATATTAAATAGCTGTATATATTTTTATACAGTTAAATCATTATTAGAATCCAAATCCTATTATAATTTAGAGGCATATGGTTTTGCACTTTTAACGTTTATGAATTGTTTTTTGCTCAATTGTAGATTTCGAACGATTTCCATTAATTCGTCTTCATTATAAATGTCACAAAAGGATTAAAAAAATCATTTGTATTAAATTTTAGACAATCTTTAAGTCGCTGTTAGTTATAGTTATCCAGACTGCATAAACAATAAGCCCTTTTGACAACTGTCAGTTACTACAATTTGACAGCTGTCAAACAACATTGAAAAAAGAACTTTGTTTAATTTAGTGATAATTTCGATTAGACTGGTGTAGCGTTAATTGAAATAAATAAAGTTAATATATCTCGTTAATTAACATATATCTATTCGGGGCAATTTGAAATTCTTTGACAGATTTTTATCGATATTTTCCAAATCGATTTTAAGTTAGATCTTTTAGCCGCTTAGAGTAGATTTAGTAAGAGAAATCCACACTAAGCGACTGTTTAGGTCAGCATTAAACGATTAATATAGTCTTAAACCGTGTGTTCACTGGAACTCGTCGTCGGAGCTGAGGAGTGTAGTCTTCTCGTGGTTGGCATGGCTGATGGTGGCGACGCGCTGCGGCGGGCGGGGCGCCAGCGCCGCGCCCTCCTCCCCGGATCGCTTGCCTACACCCGCGCTGCGCATCACTGCACCACGCACAATGAACACGTCACAAAATAGAATAAAATCACACTGCCCAACTCAAAGTCGGTTAATGACCAGTTAAGCAATCCCTTACTGATTTTCTCATAAGCTAAGAGACGTTTTGATAGACATTTTACTGTAATACGGATTTGGTTCTTTTAAAGACCTACTGATTTAATTTTTAAAAGTTTTTAGTTCGAAAATCCACAAAACAGGAAAATACCTTATACATTGTATGTGTGAATGAAGTACATAGTTTATAACAGTAAAAGATGTTAGTGTCATGTAGAAAAAATGTGCTGTAGTGATTTACAAATCGTTTGTGTGTTTAAAAAGCATCGAGTTTATAATGAAACATGTAATTTTCATTTGTGTCCAACTTAAAAATATAATGAATGCACTTTGTCAGTTTAAATTTAGTTCATATAAATAAAAAAAGGTAAGAAGAATTTAACTTGAAATGGTTACGAAGATCCTAATTTTTAAAAGTACATGAAGTGTGTAAGATGAGTAAAACGACACACATTAACCGTGGATTTCCGAGACCAAAATCTCTGTATAAAACATATCGTCATCCTTATCACAATCTTTGATAAAAAAGATAGCTCTTTGTTTCAAAAGAGGATTTTAGTTTCAGAAACCGACGGTAAATATTTCAAATTTATAATCCTAAATGTGAAAACACACATGCAACATTTAATGCTTCAATGAACAATAACAATAATGCATGCTATTCAAAGATTTCATGTGTGAATTAATACGATTAATATAAAAAGAATTCAACTAAAATAAGTTTTTTTTTAAACTTTACCCTATTAAATATTTTTTAACCATGACAGTTATATATTAAAGTTATAAGTAGTTGTAAACAACGTAAATTAGCACATATATAAATTAATTAATCATCATACTAATTACGAACAATGTAGGCATTCCAGCAAATAAAAATAAGAAGCTAATTAAATGGGTAACACTTACCTGATCGGTGACGTCACGAGATAATCAAAATAAATAATACAGTAGAGTCGTTTTATTGTTAGCGAAAGGGCAAAAATACAAAGATAAAATTAATCTATAGTCAAAATGAAACAATATCCGTCTTAACCTAAGTTTATCGTCAATAACAAAATCGTAATCTTAGTTTAAACGCCCGTTTGGGCAAAGCGCTACTTATTTTAAAACTAATTTATTAATGTATAAAAAGAATCGTTTACGCGTAAATTACAAAGCATTATAAACGTGGAGTTTGAAATTTCGTTTGTTTCTTTAGAATAAAAAAAAATTAATCTCCCAAAATACCGTCTAATTTTTTTTGTTTTTTTAAAACTATATTGAGGTATGATTTTTTATTTTTATATATAAACCATTTTAATTGCGTTAATGATAACAAAAGCCATTTAAGAAAAAAAAAGGGTCTTGACAGACAGACGGACGGACAACAAAATGATCCTACAAGGGTTCCGTTTTTTTCCTATGAGATACGGAACCCTAAAAATTTAGATTTTTTCTGTTTGCAAAATACTAGAAAAACATTTTGTCTCTATCCTTAAAATGTTTTACTGCATTTCTTAAGCGGTTTTTAGAAATTCAATCCTCCACGCTTATAAATATTATTTGCCTTGATTTCCCAAAAAAAAAAACAAAGTCACCGACCTAAATCGGTCTTTGGCAATTAAAAACTGTACATTTCGGTGGACAATAGCTGGTAAGAATGTAACTTTTTTTTTAATAATCAAAAACTACTATTTAGAAAAAAAATCTTATTAATAACAAGATACTAAAATTTACCCTAGCGTTTACTAAAAGGATCATATCCACTACTTAAGAAAAAATCAAGAAAATGTACAGATTTAAGAAAAAAAAAACGAAAAAAAAATCACAGAAAAAAAAATAATTTACAATCTCCACAACACATATATTGGCATAAGGTACAAAAATAAAAAGAATCAAACTTTCTTATAGTTTTAATGATTAGTCCGAGTACAGGTAATTTTTTTTATTTACATAATAGAAGACTAAAAAAAATTTTTTTTTTCAAAACTCAAAGCAATTTTTTTCCTATTTTTTGTCATTATGCACATCGGACTAGTCAAAACATTAAAAAATAACAGTAACAAAATTGACATATACATATATATTAAGAATATAACCACGAGGAGCAACATATTATCGGAAAAACTTTGTCGAAAAAAAATATATCTGTTAAAGATTAAATTATGTTACTTAATTTCGTATATAATTTCGATATTTTATATAATATTTAAATATACTTTATATCGATCGTGTTAAATGTAATTTCTATATATTTAAATCATGTCAAAAGTAAGCTTAATAATTATCCATATGAAAATAGTAAAATGACTGATAATTAAATCTTCAATTTTTTTTTGTTATTTTGCTATATTTTTTTGTATTTTTTTTTACTAACTTTTACTATTTCAAGCTCATATAACCTGTAGAAAGATATTTAATAAATTTGAAATGTTAAAATTCTCTTTAATGTTTATTATTTTTTTATGTGTAAACAATTTTATGTTAGTAATGTAACCATGCTCGGAGGGTTATGCAACTGGCAACAAACGATATTTAATATTTCTTGTCTATGGTCCAAGTTACTCTATGGTCGAGTGACTCTATGGTTGATGAAGGCAAGTGTTACAAGTTGCATCATGGCGTATTATATCATAAAATATAGACAATGCACAGACAGACAGACAGACAGCGCTTCATGCAGAGCTATGGCAGAGCTTATAATTTCTCATAAGGCAGATGAGATGTGACATCTGAAAGAGAATTAAATCAAAAATAAAAATACCGCGCAATATTTTTTCGTTTACCAAAAAAAATTAAAAAATAAAAAATTTGGAAAAAATACTACAAACACTAAATTACTTTTTCACTAGTAAACTTTTAGTAGCTTTGAATAAAATAGCTACCATTACTAGCAAAGATAATATACTTTGGTCCAATATTCGGCAAATAATATAAATGAGGCGGCGAATGTCATGCGCATACATACAAACAGACGTACAACTCACCAGAACTGTATTGCGTGTACTGCTGGTATTGCGGGTGGAAATTATGGAAAGCGTCTGTCATAATGTCCTTCGGGTTCATTGTCTCCTGGAAACATTAAATTATTTATATCACATAAAATACTAAATCAAGAATTTATAGTTCTGCCGGTACAATCAGGGAATCCAGCAGTGTTCCACCTTAAAAGCTACAACAGTCTAAACGTTTTCTACACATTGATACATAGACGAGGTGAAGTAACCAATAGGACGCAGATTTTAAATGTCTGTACAGAAAAGACGTTCTATGGTACGCGGATTTTCTCTTTATTATCTGATCGTTTACACAACCTCACTGGTAGCTAATTGTTTATTTGTAGTAGATTGTCTTGTTGCAAGGAACAAGGCAATTTATTTTGTAATTTGACCACCGCAGATTTCCGCGACTGTACAGTAGTGATCATTGAAGGTACAAAAGCTTCAATGGCATTATCTTTATGCAATGAAATTTTAACAATAGGTTGGGAGACTTATTTAATAACATTTTATAATAGTTTGGCGGTTTGGAACATTATAGCAGACAGTGAGCAGAACATTATGAAGTAAAGATAGGCGGGATGGGGTATAGAGGTATGTTGCAGTTTTCTTACCTTGAGGCTGGAGGATATGGACTGCATGGTGACGGAGCGGTGCGGGTCGCGGTGCGGGGCGTAGACGGCGGCGGGGAAGGCGTAGCGCAGCGCCACCGCCGCGGCCAACATCTCGATGCAGATGAGGAAGTTCTGGTAGCCCGCAGACACCGTACCCGCAGTCGTCGGCACGCCGCTCGCGTCCACCAGCGGGGAGATCACCTCCGCCTTCTCCAGGATAGCCAGGGCCACGCCTGCAGAACACCAATCATATTCATATTTCATGTGTTCAAATATACTCAAATATATTAATCGTTACTTTCTAAGAGAAAAATCACTGTCTAAAATATGGATATATCAAGCATATGGATATATCGATCATCACGTAATTCAAGCATTGACACGAAACTTTTAAATACCAATACAACCAAGTTATTCTATTCTTCTTTCTGAAGAGTTCTCGGACATATACTAACCTTGCCAGAAGGACAAAAAGATGACGGACTTGACGGTGAAGAACTTGAGTACAGGATCGAAGGGCTTGAGCATCTCCCTGGTGGCGCCGAGGAAGAGGAAGAGGCCGTACAGCGCGAGACTGACAGAGAAGTTGTACACGATCGTAATGTACAAATAACCGCCGTTGGGGCTCCAGTCACCGTCGTGGTAGTGTCCCGCTGACTGTAATAAAAGGAATTTAATAAGATTGGAAGTTAATTTATTTACCACTAGGTGGCGTTATTATCAATTAAAACAAATCCGAATTTTTATTTTAACTTTTATAGTAAATAAAGTATTCATGCACATGTAATTTTTTTATCGTATGAATTTTTCGTTTTAGCATTTCCTGTACCCTGTACGAGATTTTTTGAGGTGCCACCTTTTTTTGGTGTCAGAAGGAGAGTCCAAAGATATTGTATATTAGGGGGCGCCACAGGCGCTCCTGTATATCCAACGCTGGCGCCCTGGGTAACCGCCCTACCTCGCGCTGCCCTAACGGTACTGAGGATTAGCCAAGCACTAGTTCATGAATAAAAAAAAAACTTGTCATTTGCTAGAGTAAATAATATATTAACTGTCTGTATTCAATTTTAATTATGATAACATATCGCACAATTCTGTTTGCAGTAAAGTATATAAGTAAAAGATAAGACAAATTACGTAGAAGTATCAGTAATGAGTATGTACGCGGAAATATATAACTAATATTTGAAATAACAAAAGCATTAAATAATCAGTTGTATTTCTGATTTAAAATAATTGCATAGATAACAATATTTATATTTGTATCAACTTACAAATCTGAAATAAAAAATGTTACCTAATCGTAATTATTGCGTCATAAATGATTCATTTTAGTTGAATGGTAGACAGATTAAAATGACTAATTCCAACCTTGAAGAAATAAAACTACAGACTTTCAATAGCAATAAAATAAAAGATTATTTTTACTTACAGTAAAAATATCTACAATTATTAAACTTCAACATGTCTTACTAATATTATAAATGCGAATGTTTTGATGGATGGATGGATGGCTGTTAGAAGGTATGACGGGCTCTAGCCCGCTTTAACATCTACGCACGAATTGGCCCGGTTCGCCCGGTGAAATACCACGAGCACACAGAAGACAGGCGTAAAGTGGAAGCAATTCCGCGTTTCGTCTGATGAGTGTGCGTCCCGGGGGCCTAATTTAGTTCTCTTTCCCTTCTCACCCTTTTTCTTATAAGGAAAGAATGGGAAGTAGAAGTGAACTTTCCGGATGAGAGGATGCATGGGAAGAGAAAATATTTTCTTTCTGTGCATCCTCTCCTCCGTCGATTAAAGGTAGGCAACGCATATGCAATTTGCGTATGTCTATGGGCAACGATCACTTCGCTATTTCGGCGATTTCAGGTGGCCGCTCGCTCGTTTGCCACCTTATAATATAAAAAAAAATCTCCAAAACGGCTGCATGGATCATACAGGAGTCGCAGGCGACAGCTATTCTCATAATAAATATCAAGATGATTCATTATTACAAAAGTAGTTACTTTATATAATAAAGAGACTAATTGATTAATACATAACAAGGTACATAATATAAATTGATGGCAGGTGCTTACGTGATACAAGTTACATTGGCTGCTAATTATCGATCAACTTGCTAACTTTACGTAATAAACATAGTAAGCAAGCAAGCCATATATGTTCAATGTCGTTATGTATATCTTAACTAGTATATACAGCAGATTTACTATATATGGATTATCCTATCTATTTAGATTATCCAAACGGTAAATAAAAGTTGCTAAAGTAAGTGTTTCTATTCAATTATGACGTCACCAAAGGCGATGACAATTTTGTTGCTAAAGTAATACGTCAACATTGGGTAATTGGGCAATTAACATTAGTCGGAATTCCCGGTAATGAATTTTTATAAATGTTTTCAGATTTCACGCGACTCGCTGCGTTGAACACAATTTTAAACGTATAGCGAGATGGGTAGAGAGGGAACTCCTTGGTCCGCCAAGATATTTGAAAATACTAATACAAGAAATGCAATCACGTGTTTTATGTGTTTTAAACATTAACAAATATTTCAATCGATACAAGTCAACTCCAAGCTTGTGCTAGGTTCACACCAATAGCCAAACTTGTATTCAAACCACCATGAGATCTTATTACCCATAACTAAATCATTAGGATATTGACGTTTCGATAGGAATTTAACAGTGGTAGAGCCCGCTTTAACATCTTCGCACGAATCGGCCCGGCTCGCCCGGTGAAATACCACGACCACACAGAAGACAGGCGTCAAGTGGAAGCAATTCCGCGTGCAGTCTGATGAGTGTGCGTCCCGGAGGCCTAATTTAGTCCTCTTTTCCTTCCTACCCTTTTTCTTATAAGGAAAGGATGGGAAGTGGAAGTGGACTTTCCGGATGAGAGCATGCATGGAAATGTTTTCTTTCTGTGCATCCTCTCCTCCGTCGATTAAAGGTAGGCAACGCATATGAAATTGCGTATGTCTGTGGGCAACGGTCACTTCGCTATTTCAGGTGAGCGCTCGCTCGTTTGCCACCGTATGATATAAAAAAAGAACATAATCTAATCAAGTATACGGCCATTAGAAAACTGAATTACTCCAAGATTTAATTGTCATTGTTTGAGTCAACTTACCTGTAAGAATATAATGATGAATGCGCAAAGCGGCTTTATGAGACAGAACTGCAGTGTGGCTTGTTTGCAGAAACGTAAGAAGCCGATGGTGTATGTTGCTCCGCTAAGACAGCAAGTTCCGTTGACACACGAAGCACGGACCGGTCGCCCGCGCAACTCCGACATTATGTTCCCCTCACCACCCAAGTACTCGTAACACAGTGATAGGAAACTGTAGATCACGAATGCTGGAATGAAAATAAACAATTATAATTATTTTGGGGTAAAAATAATAAAGTCTAAAAGATAATTCAATAAAAACATTTTTGAATACAATAAGAAATCTTAGCCAACTTTTTTAATAATTTTATTCAAAGTTGAGAGAAAAAAATCTGTATAGTTTTAGATTTCTCATTGTTATGTTTTTAGGGTTCTGTACCTCATAGGAAAAAAACGGAACCCTTATAGGATCACTTTGTTGTCCGTCCGTCCGTCTGTCAAGACCCTTTTTTTCCTATTTCGCAAGTACGGTATTACAGCATAGATTTAGATTGGCATACCTTTCTGTATTTCGCAAAAGCGATTCTAGTCTCTTTAAGTACAGATTTAAATTCATAAATATTTTCTTTTCATAAAACCTTTATGAATTTGAAGTTACTAAGATTTTCATCATCATAAATTTTAATGCAATTAAGAATCAGAACAAACAGAACTTTCTTGTGATAAATGTTACCACTTTACATTTAAATCTTGCGTAGCAACGCATTCTATTGTCGCCTTGAAATATAACGACGGTTGCTCTCATTAGGATGAACATTAATTAATTTACATTTGAAACAACAAATTTATGTTTATAATTTCACTCGGAAGCAACATAAGCACCTATATTTGAAAAGGTGCATTACATCTCACTAATATTATATATGAGAATGGTTTGGATGGATGTTTGTTTGAATGCATCTCAAATTTGAAATAAATGTAGAATACAACTTGGAAGTACACTTAGGCTACAAATTCAGTTATTTTTCTAATACTGTACGGACGGAGTCACCGGCTAAAGCTTGTTATGATATAATACGCTAATGTGCTCGAGATATTAAAAATGTAAATGCAATGGTGGAGAAACATCGAGAAATCTTTGTCTCATAAATGTTTTTTAAAAACCAGTGTAACCGGATTATTAAGGTCGGAAGGACATTACACAAGTCGCCTAGCAATGTGCTAAAAATATACGAACGTGGAAAAATATACACACTTAAATAAATTTTAGAAAAGTACATTATTAAATGTCTATAGAAATTTCTATCATTATTAGCTAAGGCACTACATCCGCAAATTGACGTGGACCTGGTAACGTATCGTCGTCTATTTTGGGCTTTTTCTTTCCAGCTCCTAACAGCGACATTCTTAATATCGTCTTCCATCTACCAGCTTACTTTCAAATAGACGTTTAGGGCCTGTACAAACATCCATGCGTGAGCATGTGTGCAGTGCTGTCTTTTGATAGAAAAAGAAAGTCTTTTTGACGGCTTTCAAATAAAACATTTATTTATATCTTACCTTCATAGCAATCTCGGACAGTAAAGAAGTAGACATAATAAGAGTCTCCGTTGAAGAATAGCAGCGAGATCCAGCTATAGCAGCCATAAATCGGTACGATGAACAGAATACGCACGATCCAACGCTGCTCCGACGGGTTCGTGTACCAGCGCAAGTGTTGGTAAATCTGCAATGAATAGTGAATTCGTATAAGTACACGGAATAGACGAAAATCAGCTTAATGTTTACATACTAAAAAGATTATTAAGTATGTATGAATACACAGATACTTTCGACAATAGATTTAAATCTAAGAAACTCAACTAAAATAAAAAGTAGATTTTACTCTAAGAAAACTTTTAATCGAGTGTAGGTTTCAAATAGTCGAGTAACCTACAATGTACTGTACCATATTGTGATATAAAAAGATTATTGAAGAATATTACTATAGGTAAAACCCAAACATCCTTGTTTAGAATGACTTTTGACCCTGAAAGTGGAGGCTGGGATACTAAGTGGCCGAGAGCCAAGTTAGTTTAGCCTGAACTTAATATAGAGTAACCCAGGTCAAGGCTATTTCGGGGATGCCTCGATTGAAACTGTAGCTATAACTTAATAGCTTAGATATATAAAATGTAAATTATGAAAAAGTATAACATAGTGTAGTAGTGGCTTTAAAAGAAATCCTAAAAACAAAATTGAGTTTTGAAGTTTTTATATCAAATACTTTAACATAAATTTGTACAAACATTTTTCTTTAAAATTTATTCGCCCTAGATAGGAACGGAATTAATATTGCAAAAAAATCACATAAAATGTGCTACAAAACGTTACCGGGTCGGTTTTGCTCGGAAATGTTTACCCAAAGTGTACATTTGTACGGGAGCTAAACGCACCAATGTGAGGTTGTAAAAAAGTCTTTGACCACTGTCACTTCTTATATTCCACGTCTACCGGAATTACTTATATAAAAAACTACATTTAAACATGGATCTATTAAACTTAATAAAAAAATCTTTTTGTCATTCTGTAGGGACAGTAATATTTCGTCGATTTATGTAAGTTACTGAGCTTTTTAGAAAAAAAATGACAAAAACGTGTTGATAATTTCCACGTACAGCAATTAGTCTTTACTAGACATTTTCATACCTAAAATTGATTACAAACACATTTTGCATAACTTAATAATATTATAAATGCGATAGATGTTTGTTTGAAGGTATCTCTAGGACGACTGAACAGATCGCGATGAAATTTGACATACAAATAGAACATTGTCTGGAAGAACACATAGGCTACTAATTATATTTTTGTTTTAAATTCGCGGGCGACAGCTAGTGTAATAAAGTTGCAGTGCAACAATTTAATAATGACGTCATTCCACAAGGTCAGACGGATACAAAGACATTTATGACGATCTGGAAACAGTTGAACAAATACTTAACGTATCGACAGCTGCTTACTTCACACCAAGTCTTGAGTGAAAGCAACTACAATGAATTATTCACACAATTACGCACATACGAAAAAAAAGTGGAAGTGTGGACTTCTACAGCCGAAACATACAAACACACAATGTTGTCTCAGTTCAAGGAGACTGAAAGGGAACATATGTCTTCGTACCCCGGCAGTGGAAGCCCACGGGTAGATAGAAATAAAGATATTTCGACATAACTATCTATACCTAAATTTAATAAAAAAAAACACAAACAATATCATATACTTGATGCTATGCTTTACCTACAACGAAAAATCTAATTTTAAAATTTTTGCCCGTCCGTAAATCCCCTTTCGTTCCGGGTTTTCTCAGAAACACCTGGACCGATTTAAACGGGACTTTTTTCTGGAAAGAATCTTATGTGTGCGAAAGTAACTTAGGCAATTTTTTTTATTTTGCTCTGAAAAAAGTCGCTGGCAACCGCTAGTCTATTATAAATATAAAGAAACTTCTACGCCATATGTGTTTTAGTAAATATCAACAAATATTACATTTGTCTATGTATATTTGATACAAGCAACAATATCTATATATATAAAAGAATGTCGTGTTAGTTACACTATTTATAATTCAAGAACGACTTTACTGATATGGCTGGAAATTGCTGAGGAGGTAGCTGAGAGCCAGGAGACGGACACAGGATACTAATTATTCATTTTTAAATTTTTAGTTTTTTTATATAAAATAAGATATATATCCACGCAAACGGAGTCGCGGGCGACAGCTAGTATAACAATATAAATTTATTACAAAGCAGAATAAAAACATAAATTCCCACAACACTGTCGACGTTGTTTACGTTGTTTGAATGTCAGTATTAACGTCCAACATTTGTCCTCAAAACTGGTTACAACATAAGCTTGCTCATAACATGACTCAAATGAACACCGCTACTTTGAACTGCGCTTGCAACTCATCCAATTATTAATATCTACATGCTAATGTGAGTTTTCACTGTTGCAACACATGTATAAAGATATTTTGTCATCCCTCTAATTGTCATTGGTAAAACAGACAAATTACGAAAGAGGAATTTCACTAAATGTGAAAAACTCAAAAACTACTCAATGGTTGACTCAAACTCAAAAACTACTCAATGGTTAGAAATTGGGATGATCCAAGTCTCATGCTTTTTATCGTATCTTATACAATAAAGCTCTAGTTATTCATTCAGACATTCGGTATGTCAGGTATAAATAGGGCTTGTATTGAAGAGATGCGGAGAGTTTTAGCCTAGTTTCATACATCGTGTTTATCCCGTACACTAATTGAGCCAAGGCATTCAATTGGCTTACGAATAGTATGTTTGAAAAATCACGTTTGAAAGTCAAACACAAAAGGTCTGTTATTGCCCGTTTTACGTTACATACATATTTGAGGAAATATATTTTAAACTTATATTTTTATAACAAAAATAGCAGTCGCTCGCGATAAGTCCGCGCGGAATTAAAAAAAAAACACAATTAGTAGCCTATGTGTTCTTCCAGACTTTGTTCTATATGTATGCCGTTCTGGAGATGATACATCCATCAATTCATCCATCCATATTAGAAAGATAAAAGGAAAGGAAATCTATTTATAAAATAACGTACTTAAAGCTGATATATGTAACATATATTAACCAAAGCGATGAAATTTTAAAAGCTATGGTCACCCTATGCCGTGGCAATTAGAAGAAAGTTGAAAATATTGCGGTCTCTGACAATTTTCCATATGAGCAATTCAATTTAAACTCGTTTTCTAATAAAATTATATCACAAAATTAATTTCCTATTCTTTTTCAATATCGTTTACGAAACATAGAAAATTTATTTAATAAATTTCCAAATAGCTAAGTCAACAAGAAAACTCAGAAGTAGACAACAAATAAATTCAGTATTTTTTGTATGGATCATAAAAGAGCCCAATCACATTATTTGCCAAATTACTAGGCTTTCGGTCTTTTGATCCAAAGGTCAATGTTTATTAGAGGAAATATCCTTGAAATATCATGCAAAAGAAGGATTGCGTAAACATTGCGTTTTACATATATCAAAGTATATAACAAGTTTTTTTTTATTTCTACATCATCATCAGCACATTATACGTCCACATTGAGAGACTTGGAGCCTACGCTATGTTAGGTGTGACTAGGCCATACATTTCTACATGCAAGTAAATAATACCCAGCAGTAGTGGGCCGTAAATAGCTTTTTAAAACTCCTTCGTCGCATTTATAGTGGTTCTTCCAATCGATTCTCGTCTGTTTTCTCGCTGCAGACAGACTGCGCATGGCTCACGTCATTCTTTATCTTCAATTTCAATGGAATTCTTAACAGTAACAAAAGTAAAGTATACTACCATTGCGTTTGTTATTGCCATGACCTGGCCTTAAACTGAGGGTCTAGCACGAATATTTGCGAAATACACCTACGTAACATCATCGATAAAATGTCAAAATTTGTGTGAGTTTTTTTATTTTTTATTTCATTCTAGGTCAACAATTTTTGTTACGATAACTTTCTCACAAATATTGCTAGGTCCTCTGTATTATATGTAACGCCGTGAGAAGACTCCTAAGAATAATCTTACGTATGGGTCATTGCTATCACACACTGTTTGTTATTTGAATCCTTTTTCCTTCGGTAATTTTATGCTGGGTATTTTCATAATGTGATATAGTTCATATAGATTAAATTTAAGTTTAGCAATACCTTATCAAATGCGATACGATGATAATGTGCAATACTTATAGATTGGTCATACATAATGATATATTACACTTGTCTTTTACCCGATTAATATAAACAAAAATCTATTATTAGACATATAGGATGTCCTAATACGAAAATTGTACATTTTTGTATTAGATTTGTACAACGTAAGGGCGTAAAATACAATGACAAATCACATACAAATTATTCATATATTTTATCGGTGACGTTACGAAAATGCATATCGCAAATATTCATGATAGACCCTCTGGTTACTAAATATCAGTCGATATCGTAACATTTCAAAAACTTGATTTAAAATAAAATGAAATCAGCGAAAGCTATACACAAGACAAAATAAAATCAAAACCACGTTTACGACACACACTGAGACCTGGCTAAAAATGTTTTGTAGGACCAAGATGTGAAGCCTCCACCCTATTTTCGCCTTTAAGCTATGCTTCAAAGATGGAAAGAATATTACCACAAGATATTTCTCATGACCTATTTCCTAGTTTCCATATAATAACACGTTAAATCTTACTAATATTACAAATGTTTGAATGTATGAATGGATGGGTGTTTCTTAGAAAGTATCTCGAATTATCTAGAACGGCTTAAGATATCTCACTGAAATTTGTCATATATGTAGAACATAATCTGGAAGAACACATAGACAACTAATTAACTTTTTTTTTGACTAATTAACTTGGACGAAGTCGCGGTCGACTAGTACTGTGACAGCTATAGGCCGTATTTGATTAGTCGTTAAACTAAATATGAACACCGTAGTGTCGACAGCTCATGAAAGCGATGAAGCGCATAGTTCACGTAATCTCGAATACCAAACATTCTACATTCATTTCAATTTACATAATGCTAATAGGTGTCGGTCGCGACTCCGTCCGTGCGGAATTAAAAAATAGATAGTAGCCAATTCTCAGACCTTCTGAATAAGCATATAAATTTCATAAAGATCGGTCAAACCTTTTCCGAGGAGTTTGGTAACATTGTTAAACAATATAAAAGCTATTTAAAATATGTTGCTAATTCCAACGCTAGCATGTTTTTTTGCAAATAGCACTTTATTTAAATCTTTAATGTTTCACTTATTCACAAAACGCTATCAAATAACACAAACTTTTTTGCCAATAAAGTAATCAAATCTTTAAAAGCACGTCTTTGTCATTTTTTGTTCGACGAGACGGTAATTTGAGACCGATATGCGAGAAGTCCTTGTAGTGTTCTTGTCGCCAACTGATCCTTCTAAGCCAGACAGGGTAAGTGTAGATTAATACGGAATATCCTTGCTAAATATCTAATGGGTTACTCCAGTTACAAATGTCTTGAAAACAAGCAGTAACCGTGAGATTCTATGGCCAAGATCGTCTTTCAAATCGTATTGTTATCCCTGTTTTGTGAATGATAATGATAGAGTTAACGATATGTTTTATACAGAGATTTTGATGTCAGAAACCAACGTTAAATTCCCTACATGACCATTACTCTATTAAATTTCAAGTTATTTGGTGACATTTTATACAATCTTGAAATAAACCATGAGGTTCCACTGCAGAAACAATTAAACAAAAACAAGTTTAAGTGCAAAACTTAATATGTAATCTTAAGGCTTGCTTTGAATTACTTAAACAAAACAAAAAATATATTTTTATATACCGTAAAAGTAGGCACGGTCGTATTCATATCCTTGTATCATAGATTGTTAATTCGTACGTGAGAGCTTATTTTTATCTCAAATTCTCAATACATACTCGACTGGAGACACATTAAATCCGAACGCTTGCGAAATTTATTTAGCATTCGGCACAGCCTTGATATATTGCAGGCAGTTTGAAAACTAGTTTTATACATTAGGAATCGGAAAACATGTTGCGTTCATATTAATCGTGAATATGTGCGAAATATCTGTATAAAACATATTGCTATCTCTATTTTTCCAATGAAATGCCAAACTTGTTTTCATGTGAGTGCTTCGTCAGTGGAAATCCACGGTTAAATGGATCAACAGTTATTTAAAATCTAGTGCAAATAAAAACAAAAAAGAGAGTATAGACGGATTGTGTGGAAGAGGATATGCGTAAGATGGTGAATTCAGATATGACAGCTAATAGAAATGGAGTAGTAGTACATACTGTGCCGATCCACCGTAGGGGAAAGGGCAGGTTGGTAATGATGAAGGCTATGGAGACGAGACAAACCACGCTTCTACTATGTAATTGCAAACTCAATGTAATAATTTAACTAACATAACGTACATTGGTAACGGCAGATTTAAATTTAGACGACCTAAATGTATACAGCTCTTGCAACACCAGGAACGTTTATTTCAATAGTAAACATCCAGTGATCATATCTTTGAAGGTAAAAATAAGTTAACACATTAAACGGCAACGTCTCTACAACTCGCTCTTTAACACATAACAGTGGCATTAAACGTGTTAACTCAATTTACTAACACGAGAAGAAAAAGAAGACAGATGACTTCGTTTCGAAGATTTTAAAGCAAAGTTCTTGATTATTTAACTCTTATTTCTCCATTCCTGACATAAACTTGTTAATACAATACGTATTTTAATCAAACGTGGGAATAATTATAGCAATAATAAACAGATGTATTTGTACAACATTTATACTCGTCCGGCAATACAGTGTGTTCTGTTTTGGGAAGAGTAAACCCGGACAACGCGGACCCGGACACAGGATATACATGGGACATTTTCTCCAACATTTCTATGTAATCTAACGTCCTTAAGAATGGTATTTCCAAAGCACATCTGGTTCGTGACATCAGGATGTACGTCCTAGTGTATAACATACTAGCTATCGCCCGCAACTGCGGCCGCGCGAAATTAAAAAAAAAACTAAGTAGCATATGTGACTATGT